AGTTAACATGGGCTGGAGGGAGGGCTGAGAAGTTAACATGGGCTGGAGGGAGGGCTGAGAAGTTAACATGGCCTGGAGGGAGGGCTGAGCAGTTAACATGGGCTGGAGGGAGGACTGAGAAGTTAACAAGGGCTGGAGGGAGGGCTGAGCAGTTAACATGGGCTGGAGGGAGGGCTGAGCAGTTAACATGGGCTGGAGGAAGGGCTGAGCAGTTAACATGGGCTGGAGGGAGGGCTGAGCAGTTAAGTTGGGGCTGGAGGGATGCCTCAGTGGTTAAGAACACTTGCTGCTCTTCCAGAGGAACCAAGTTCAGTTCCCTAGCACCAATATCAGGCAGCTCACAATCACCTCTAACTACAGCTCTAAGGAATACAACACTCTCTTCTGACCTTCTCGGGCATCCACACATACATAAATAAAAATGTCTTAAAAAAAAAAAAAAAATGTTAACCATCTGAAGAGTGCCGTAGGGCTGGAGGTTAGCTCAGTGTAGATGACTTACCTAGCACACAGAGCCCTGGACTCAATCCCAGCACACTTTTCCAGGCAAGATGGTGCAGACCTATAAATGCAGCACTCCGAAAGCTGAGTCATGAAAACTGCCAGGAGTCTGAGACCAGCCTACACAGTAAGTTCGAGGCCTGACTGGACAACTGAGTGAGACCCTATTTCAAAAAGCCTTAAACAGGAGGAAGAACGACTTCACTCCTCTGCCAAAGCAAACAAGAGGCAGACACAGGAAGAGAGGAAAACAAATCCTGCATGGGACGATGGCCTTCAAAGGAAAAGGCAGAGTGGAGAGAGAATGGAGATGGCCAATGTCACTCCTTCCCTTGTTTTCCTGAGAGGAAAGAGTGCTCCTCCTGGAATGAAAGCATTCTCAGCTCGGTAACTCGGGTCCCACAAGGTGGGCCCTGGCAGGAGTTTAAGCTGAACTTTGGAACTCTGGACAAATGACTCAACAAATAAAACAACTTTCTCACAGCACCTTCAACTAGCAATCTTCACTTCAACACTACTGAAGGCAGATTGGTGTCAATAAAGACCAGGAGAAACAGACATGAGAAAGGAAAAAAGAATATAAAATAAAGTAAATAAATATGTTAACATTCCTGCTCTGATATATCTTAGCTATGGGATACAGACTTACACATAGTAGCATCTGCACAGGGCTGTATCCAGAGAAAGGGGGAGTCATTATCAGGCAACCTACTCAGTTCAACAGCTTCTAGAAAGATCCAAGTCAAAAAGATCCCCAAAGATCTTTTTTGTATAGAAATAATAGCATAAAAGGGTAGATTATTGAATCTACTTTAAAAAGAAAAAAGGGAAGATATAGAAATGATAAAAGGTAGATTTTTGAATCTACTCAGAAAAGAAAAAAGAGAGAATATGGATATAAGATAAAAAGGTAGATTATTGAATCTACTTTTTAAAAGGAACTACTTGTTTTAAATATTTTACATTGGATAGGATTTTTTTATATTATATATAAATTTTGTATTGGACTCACCAAAATAGGATAAATAATGAAATTTTTTGTCTGAATTTGTCAAATGTTAATGGACTGGACATTGTTAATGTAATTCTTGACTGTATATATTGTATATACTTATTGTATATACTTTTTCTTATATTAGTTATAACTTTTTTTAAACAAAAAAAGGGGAAATGTGGTTGATATACTGTGCACCCTAATAAACTTATCTGAGGGTCAGAGAACAGAACAGCCACTAGATTAGACATGGAGGCCAGAAAATGGTGGCACAGACACCTTTAATCCTATCACTTGGGAGGCAGAGATCTGTGTGGATCTCTGTGAGTTCAAGGCCACACTAGGAACAGAACCAGATGTGGTGGCACACACCTTTAATCCCAGTACTTGAGATCTTATGTCTTTGCTTGAGAAAGACACATGCCTTTAATCCCAGTAAGTGATGGCAGGAAGCAGAAAGGTATATTAGGCATGAGGGCCAGGAACTTGAGGCTTTTAGGCTTTTAGGCTTTTAGCAGCAGCTCAGCTGAGATCCATTAGGATGAGGACTCAGAGGCTTCCAATTTGAGGAAATAGGATCTGCTGAGAAGTTGGCGAGGTGAGGTTATCTGTGGCTTGTTCTGTCTCTCTGATCTCTCAGCTATCACCCCAATATCTGGCTCCTGAGTGTTTTTATTAATAAGACCTTTTAAGATTCGTGTTACAGAACTGGGTCACATACATTGAGGCCAATGAAGGAAATCCTATTCCTAGTGGAATATGTAGTCCAAAGGAGGGGAAAGCAAATTAAACTGAGGTGCTTCTGAATGTGCAGAAACCCAAAATTATCCCAGAATGAGTGCTATGTGGTAACACAGCAAAGAAAAGGTGGTCCCTCCATTTCAGCCACACAGCCTGGGTAACAAACCACTCAGCAAGTGCCTTATCTCTGACAGAAGAGTGAATAAGGCTTCTTTTGTCTCCTGTACCCAAAGCATCAAGCTCCTTGTTGAAAAATAACATCAAACTTTTCTAAATTTCAGAGTTCATCATACAGAGCAGAACTGCTTAGAAATATAAATTCAGTTGCATTTATATATCTAGGAACTGCAGAGGGAAGACTCATCTCAATTACCAAATTTCATCCTTATGTACTCATACGGGTCTTCTTGCCACAGCTCTTCATCCTCGTCTTTATAACACATCACAGAAAAAATTACATCTTCAGAGATGCTCTAAGATGAGAAACAAACAAAATAATTGGGTACAGGCCATTCCAACAACACTGGTCGGTCACATTAGTTTTTCCAGTTACAGTAATCCTTCTCAGCCTGCATTCACATTCAGAGAGGACAGCAATAGCTGAAGCTCAGACAAATGGAACACTTAGAAGCTGGAGGCAAGAAGCAGAAAAGACCAGTGCAAGCGATGCTCCTTGAAGAAAGGACAGGAACAACAGAACTTCACTAACAGATCAACATTAAACACACCTTGATTTCTTGTACGGAAAATGCCACCAGGGTTATATTTACTATTATAGTTCTCATTTTTAAAATGCTTCATGTGTCCATGCTGGTCCTAATCATCAATACATCAACAATATTTGTGTCTTTTCTGCTTCCATTTCCAAAACACTAGTACTCTACTCCACAGCTGTGTGTTTCAGAGAGGAAGTTCCCTAAGCAGCCTGTGAACAGCAGTTAAGCTCAAGTAGGCCCCTGTGTGTTCAATAACTACTCACACAGAAACAGGACGAGGGCTAGAGGGGTGGTTCACTATCTTCCAGAGGACCTGGGTTCTATTCCCAACACCCACATGGAGGTTCATAATCATCTGTAACTCCAGTTTTAGAGGAGCCAAAGACTTTCTGGCCTCTTTGGACACCAAGCATGCACACAGTTCACAGACAAATATGCAGCAAAACACCAATACATATAAAATAAAAATAAGTAAATCTTTAAAAAAAAAGAGAGAGAGAACTATTTCTTATCACTTAGTTGAAATTCAGCCTAAAGGTTAATATTTTCCTGAAACTTTCTATGTGAAAGCCATATAAAAATAATGCCAAAGGAAAAGATGTTATTTTGTATTTCATGTCACCCTTACATTTACAGGTATAAACAAAATGAAAACAGTATCTTTACTAATTGTAAAAAATTACCACTATTTGATCATAGTAAGTAGGCAAATAGTTACAGAGTCCACAATTGACAAATTTAAAATATACTACATGGAGCTGGAGAGATGGCTCAATGATTAAGAGCACTGACTACTCTTCCAGGGGACCCAGGTTCAATTCCCAGCACCTACATGGAAGATTACAACTGTCTGTAACTCCAGTTCCACATGATCTGACACCCTCACACTAATGCATATAAAATATAGTCAAATAAATTATTTTTTAAAAAGTCTTACATATGTAAGACTTGTGTTCAGATAATGCTAACCAAAGCTGGGTTGGTAGTAAATGTAATCCTAGTATTCAGAAAGTAGAAGAAAAATGGTTGAGTTCAAGGCCAGACTATATAGCAAGATATTGTTACCTACCTAAACTCCATCCTAGATACCATGAACAGTAAAGCAACTGATTTTCTTGTCACATACCAACTTACAGAATTTAAGAACAACAGGCTGGGAATGTAGCTTAGTTGACAGAGCACTTGCCTACCATGCATGAGGTTCTTAAAAGCCTTAGTTCAGTCCCCATCACCCCATAAACCAGACATGGGAGGTGCGGTGGTGCGTGCCTGCAACCTCAGCCTAGGAGGTAGGGACAAGAGGATCAGAAGCTCAGGGTCATCCCCACCACACAGGAAGTTCAATGTCAGTCTGGGCTGTTATCTCAAAAGATGACAAAAAAAAATTTAAACCTGGTGTGGTGGCACATGAATTAATCCCAGCACTCAGGTGGCAGAGGCAGGTGGAGCTCTGTGAGTTCAAAGCCAGCCTGGTCTACATAGTGAATTCCAGGACAACCAGGGCTGCTACACAGAGAGACCTTGTCTCAAAATGAAAAAAGATGTTTTACACTGAGAACTCACAGTTTATTGGAAGCAGAGAGTCAGTTCTTAATACTTTAAATTACCCAGATATTTATGTGCAAATAAAATGTATATATTATTAGTCCATCATTTTCCATTCTGATTTGTTCTTTAATTATGACAAATAACAATGCTGAATTCTGTCTTTAAAAAAAAAACCAGTTGGTATTAAAAACAGGGTTAGTGTTAATAAAGCAGTTTTAATAAAACTTTTTAATAAAAAATAAAAATAAATAAAGCTGTTTTTAATAAAACAAAACTTCAACTTCTGCTAAAGAACTGAATCCAAGGAAGGAAGGAAGGAAGGAAGGAAGGAAGGAAGG